CCCTACTCCTGCATTTTTGTTGACAGGAGGTGCTCGGGGCCCAAGTAGTGTTAATGAGCTTTTCAGTGCCTCTGCATCCTTATGTGCAAAAAKGGGTGAATCTGTACCCCTCGTTTCTTAAGGAAAAGAAAACCTTAAGGACATTCTTATTCCAAAATTTGTCATTAAGRAATTAATCCTGTTGGAAGTCCCTGATGTGCTCACAAGTTGATTTTATTTGTTTGAAAATAGTGCCATAATGTATTAGTATTTTTAGATCACTCAGATATTTTCAGCTGGAGGAAAATCTTTTCTTTGTTAATTGTGCTATGAATAGATCTTAGACTACTGAGGAGAAATGAGTCGATATGTTGAAATGGTGATCCCTTGTGAGTTCTGGTGTACACCTGGCTGCTCTGAATTGCTTACCAAGCTGGGCTGCTGGAGTGGTGACAGCTTCCAGCAGCTGTGGATCTGTCCCAAAGTTTCCTGGGCTTTTTACGAAGATGTGGCGAGCTGCCACTGCTCCTAGCCCCTAGGGACTGTGGATTAATAATGCAGTTTAGACCCTGATCTTTCAGTATGAATCACAATGGGCCCATGCACTATTCAAGTTCTCAGTAAAGAAACTTCAGAACATAATCATCCATTACCTGATTTCATTCTTTGAATGAAAGTTAGTTAAAGTTATTCATGTACTAATCACAATTGAAAGGCAGAGAGGAAGTTCAGCCAGAGGGAGATATTGGAGATACTATTGATATTTTCAAAAGATTTTCTAAAAAATGGGTTTGACCCTTTTCTGGAATAGATCAGCATACCTGTGCTGATGATAGGGAGCTAGAGGATAATTCTGAGTCAGGACATCTGTACACTGGTTTTAAAGTTTCCAAGAAGGCATSACAGAAACACAGATGGGTGAGGTTGGAAGGGACCACAGTGGGTCATCTGGTCCAGCCTCCCTGCTCAGGCAGGGTCATCCTAGAGCACATGGCACAGGATTGCATCCAGACAGTTCTTGAGTATCTCCAGTGATGGAAACACCAAAGCCTGTCTGGGCACCCTGTTGCAGTGCTCTGTCATTCACACATTAAAGAAGTTCTCCTCRTTCAAGTGGAACTGCTGTCAGTTTCTGCCTCTTGTCCTGTTGTTGGGCACCCCTGAGCAGAGCCTGGCTCCATCCTCCTGGCACCCTCCCTTCAGACACTCACAGACATTGATGAGGTSCCCTCTCAGTTTTCTCGAGGCTGAATAGGCCCAGCTCCCTCCTTTCCTTGTAACATGTATGAAATGACAAGGTGGACAAGCCTCTGTTACAGCTCAGTCTTTGGCCTCTGTGGCCTCTGTGGATTGCTGACATGTAACAGGTGTTACAGACATAAAATGCTGACCACAAGGTTAACCCAGCTCCATCAACAGTCAGAATAAGCAAAAGAAGGAATCATTGGGGTAGAGCATTTAAATACCTTTGTGTGGGTAAATTATCAACTCATTTCACTGTCCAAAGAGAGAATATCTCTGGAGACATTTTACTGAAGGCAGAAATGCAATTAGATTGTTACACAACTSTTAAAGTGTTTTCAGACAGAATTATTTTTCGTGCTGTAGAAATATTAAAGTATTAGAGCAGAGCATGTAAAAGCAGAGAAGAAYATAGAAACTTTCCATGGTCTTTGGACCACTAGATCACTCATGTTTGAGGAKTGGTTGGTGTTCTGGCAGTTGTTACCTCTGTTACATTCAGCCATACAGAATGACACGGATGCCGAATTTTATCTTCTTTCAGAGCTAATGGCATTCTGGATATGCTGGATATGCTGGAAGTTTATGTTGTTAGAAAGTCAGAAGCATGTGTATTCAGTGGCGTACTTGTGTTCTTTGCCTCCTTCACCTGGGTGAAAATTTACAGGGATCAAAACATATCTGGCCCCAGTGTATTTATGTTAAATTAATATAACAGTAGTGATTGGAAAGTGATACATAACTGATACATAACAGTAGTGATTGGAAAGTGATACATAACTGCTTCCGCATTAAAAAGGCAAGTTAGCAACATGCACTTATTATGAATTGTTTTTCATAAAAGTTCAGCAATTGCATATATTTGCCATTCAGGTTTACATTTGAGATTATCCTCTAGTCCTTTTTTTTACACACTGTAGTTTATTTAGGTTGTCTAAATACCTTCCTTTAGACAGAAGCAAATCCTTCCTGTAAGATCCTGCTCGAATTTAGGGGTTTGGTGGAGTCAGTTCCAGAGAGCACACCGTGCATCCTCTGGCCTCAGCAGAGATGGAATGTGCTCAGCTCCTCCTGTTCCACCGAGCCCATGTGATGAGCAGGTTGGATGCCAGTCTGAAATGTGAACTTCTGCAGTGACAGTGCTGAAACTGTGAAAGAGCCTGCATTTGGCCATGGCTTTGCTTCTCCCCAGTGCTGTCAACACCAAGACTCAAGCTGCAATAGCAAAGGAGAAAGCTGCTGCTTCAGTGATTATTGCTCAGAYGTTGATGTACCCAACCATCTCTCCCTCTGCATCTCTCCTCAGCACCATTTCTGCTGTATTTAATAATTGTGTTTCTTTATAAACAGTAATTTAGGACAATTAGGAGCAATAGCATAGTTAAACCTTTAAAAGGTTATCTAGCAATGTCATTTTCTTGACTAATGTGTTCCTGCTGCCATGTCGTTTGTGAATAGACATGTGTTAGCCAGCCAGTGTGCTTCATCTGTGGTGACTTTGATTTATTTGCTCTGTAAATTGGGACTGAAGCAATAATGGAAAGTGACATTAATTGTTTAACAGAGTCCTCTTTGTCACATCCTCTGCTTTCTCTGGGGTGTTCGAATGTTGAAACTTGTACAAAACTAATTGAAATTGCTGTGATGAGGACCGGTGTCCGCTCAACTTTCTGTTCCTGAATGTCAGCGCACTTGAATGTCTGTTTAAAGCGTGAGAGTTGAGCAGCTAACAGCAAATATCAGGTTTTCTTCTGGCATGCCATTATTAAAGAAGGCCTTCCTGTTAGAAATAGCAACACTTCCAGCTTCACTGTCAGCTTTATAAGCTGCAGGGCTCAGCAGTGTGCCCCACCAGCTGGACTTGCTGAAAAAGTTCCCAGTGTAGGTCTGGGGGTCAGGCAGTCAAAACATCTCATGGACACCCTAGGCTCAAGGTCTGGCTCTCACAGCAATCATCTCACCACCTGCGAGGAGCTTGAAATGCCAACAGAAAAAAACATTGGCACACACTTTTTCGCCCARTAGTGCCTTTTCTTACTGTTCTAGAAGTGACATAATAATTTTCCTCTTTTCCTCTCAGAAAGTGGCTGTGAAAAGCTGGATTTGGAGTATGGTTTTATTCGCAAGGTGGCTCCCCTCTGCCATTTCCATCTTCTGCACACCGAATTATCACAGCTGTGTGCATATGTCTGCATAGTGTGGTGGAAATCACCTGATACGGAAACTTGGACGCTTTTGCTCAGTGGCCAAGTGCCTTTTGGCCTTTTAAGTAAATGCTTCTCCTTAGCATTTGCTTGCCTGAGTATTTATTTGTTTCTTGGAGATGATGCTGCAAGCACCAGAACAGTTTGTGCTCTGCCTTAGTTTTCTAGCTCAAAGACAGCTTTTATGTTAGAAGCCGTGAGGTGTGATTTGGCAGAGAAGCCTAGCAGGAGCAATTATCTGTGTGGTTTATGATCATCTCTGTTCAGAGTCTGCTAGATAAAAGTATTACTGAAAAAAGTCGTGCTAAGGGGATACCCAGATTCGCTTGATTTTTTTTCTTCCCCAAAGTGTAACTTGGCAGTGTTTTGCTGTTGTCTTTTTTAACTTCTTTTCTTTGCTTGTTTGTCTTGCTGGTGTTATTTGTCTTGCTAGTTCACTCTTAAACTTTGAGATTTGAACTTAGCTGAAATTTTTTCACAGTGTGAACCTGGAACAAAATGAGCTACTGTGAAGCTGGTGGAAAAACTCCCAATTTGATATCACTTGAATCAGTGAAAGGCTTTTCATTTACTTTAATAGCACTAGGATCAGCCTAGGAGTCCTAGATAATTGATCTGTCAAGATCAATTTCCAATCTTTCTGAAAAATAAATATAATGATTTTTACACAGTTCTATTTCKCAGTACTCTCAGCACTCAAAAAATCCGTACCTTAATATACAGTAGGGACTGTATTTCATTAAAAAATCAGGAGGCACTTAAATTTACTCAATTTGACAAAAAGAACTCTTGTTGCTGAAATAAGATATAAATTAACATTACAGCCACATCTGATTAGAAATTAATCTACTTTTTATAATTGCATTCTGAATTAGATAAATGCATACAATAATGCGTTGAGCACTCAAATGATGTAACTCGAAAGGACAACTTCAAAGGCAACCTGCCTAATACATTTCTTTAAAAGAAACCCAAACAACCTGTCATTTACCATATGAGTGCTGCTGGCTGTTTTTATGCCAGAATACTCAGGAATGAGACGCTGTTCTTGTTTGGAGGAAGGATTTGCAGAAGTGTGGAAGGAAAACCCTTTCACACTTACAGTAGAGGTTTGTGTGTGTGAACGAGGTTTTCTGTATTTTATTGGTGATTCATTTTGGTGTCCTGATTAGCTGTCTGATTCTTGTAATTTTGTCAGGTCAATTAGCTGGTGTTCAGTGCTGARGAGAGAAAGAAAGAGACAGCCTGGGCTGACACCATCATTAGGTGTCAGCAGCTTAGGCTCATCCTGTAATACAATCCCTGGGTGATTACTTATCGTTTTTAACACCTGATTAAAAAAAAAAAAAATTGTGGAAGAAAAGTAAACTAGATATACGCCACGAGTGCAAAGAGATTTCTCTTGAACAGAGATGGATCATTTTATTGTACCTAATTACATCTTCTGAGATTCTGTTGCAGGTTACTGTTCCAGGGGCTGGTTTAACTATGTGTTGTCGGCTCGTTCACACACAGAGGCATCGTTTTGTTCCTTTTCTCACCTGCTTCCTCTTTTTGTTTTGTCCTCTTCTGCAGAAGATAGATGAAGAGAGCGAGGCAAACTTGCTAGCTGTTCTCACTGAGACACTGGACAGCATCCCTGTGGATGAGGATGGATTGCCTTCATTTGATGCACTGACAGATGGAGATGTGACCAACGAAAATGCCRCTAGCCCCTCCCCGATGCCCGACGGCGCCCCTCCAACTCAGGAGGCAGAAGAGCCGTCTCTAGTAAGAACCCTTACTGTTTAGCAGGAATTGGATGTGCCTCTGGCTACCCGCTGCATGGGTATGATGTAGTCACAGTAAGGTCTGGACTTTTCATTTAGACTGGAGAGGAAAATCAAATAAAGAACTGAAAATTACGCGGGGGAAACCGCCCCCCCCCCCCCCCYCCCCAAATAGCCATAGGATGATTAATATGGCAATCTATTAAGAAGTTGTTGAAAAGGTTGTTTTTGAAACTCTTATGCTAATGGGGCTGACATTTTTGCTTATCATTCTGTTCAAACAACTCGGGGTAATGGTTCTTAACTCATATTTCATTTCTCGGGGCTCTTTTTGTTGTGTTCATTTAGATACAATTTTTGGTGATCTGTGAAGAAAGGCTCAGTGAGTCTGTTGGGATGCAGGGCTGATTTTGTGCTGTTAACATTGATTTGACCAGTAAGCACCAGCTTAGTGCTAACCAGGGCAAAACTGAACCTTAGATGAGGATGTGGTTGAAACATTATATACATTTTGCTCAGTAAATCCAGTTTGTGATGTGATTCTGTTTCTGCTGAAAGCCTCTTATCAATGGCTTCAATGGGAACAGAGCCAGATACCTGAATCTTGACAMTGTATCCATTAGTCTGTTAAAGTTAATGTCTCTGTCTAGATCAGAAGCCTCTTCTGTCAAACAGATCACCAAGAATTTCATTTTGCCAGGAATTYGGAAATCCAAGACTCCTGTCATTTCTGCTTGTCCTGCAGTATAYTGCAGTAAAGAGAGCAGAAATGCACTGCCAAGCCAGAAGAAAATGAAATCCTTTTACTCTGGGGAATATCAAGTCCTGCTTTTTCTTTTATTGTATTTTGCTTGCTGAAATTGATATAACTAACTCTAAGTAACTATGCAAAAATGTAGATAAGTCATTTTAATCCATAAAAATATATAACTTTACTCTTTTCYTTCCACTTCCCTTTCCCCAATGTATTTGTAGCTTAAGAAGCTCTTGCTGGCTCCAGCCAACATTCAGCTAAATTACAATGAMTGCAGTGGTCTCAGCACACAAAACCATGCAAACACTAATCACAGGATCAGAACAAGCCCTGTGGTTGTTAAGGTACAAACTTAATCTTTATAATAAGGGGGAAAAAATGAAGTGTAACAAGGTCTTTTATGCTTTCGGCAACCAAGCAAGCAGTAGATCTGATTGTATTTTATTAATATGCATACTATCTTGTAACTAATTTTTTTTTAAAAGTGAGTTGTAGACTGGGCTCCAGAAAATCATCTGAGCTCCTTTATGCTCTGAATATTTCATTTATGCCTTTTCTCTTGGCAGAGTTTAGTTGTAGTCACACCGTCTGTTACTCTTACCTACTTTATTGATACACAGAGTAGGATGGGGTGCAATAAAATTTGCTGATGGTCTGGTGTTGTTTATGAGTGACAACAGGATGTGGGACTGCCATTTCCCCAGCTGTCTGAGCTAAGACAAATGACACTGGATTCTTGGCAGAACATGTATATTAGACATTGACTGGATAGAATGGGGGGGGGGCCAGACATAATTCTGTTAGCAGGCAGTATTAAACAWTGTTTGTCTTGCCATTCACTGTAGCTGAAAACGGACCATTTAGGGGTACTTAAGAGAGTTGTGAATACTGGGCTCAAGCAATCAGSAGCACATTAAGGTTTAAACCAGCTTATTTTTTTGTTCACAGTAAAGGCGCTGTAGGGTCTTGTTAGTTACATGTTGCTGAGTAGGAACATTGCAATGTAGGAGAAATGAAATAAAAAGCTGCATAAATGTCATTTAGGAATTTTAAATGTAATTTTCTTTCCTTGTTCTGCAAACACTTATTCACAGCTCATAGATCTAGTACACTTAGACTGAACACTTCATTGAAAATCTCATCTCTTCAGAAAACCTATATCCATTCTGATAAGGTTCAGCTCACTAATTTTAGCTTTATTTTATTTTATTATTTTATTTTATTTTACTCTGTTTTTAAGACTGAGAATTCATGGAGCAATAAAGCGAAGAGCATTTGTCAACAGCAAAAGCCTCAAAGACGTCCCTGCTCTGAACTTCTCAAATATCTGACTACGAATGATGACCCTCCTCAGACCAAACCAGCAGAGAACAGGAACAGCAGCAAAGAGAAATGCACCTCCAAAAGGAAGCCTCATCTGCAGTCTCAGACAAATCATCTGCAAGGTAGGTGTGYGACTGCAGAATACAGCTGTGGTAATTACCAGAAGTGATGCAGGGAAGCTGAAGTACYGTGGTTGGGAATACCCTTGATACTTCTTCAGTTCTTTGGATTAATTTTGTAAATCCAGCATCTCTTCTTTATAAAGAGAATTTTAAAACAGTATAATGAAGTTAAAATTAGTTAACTAGATTTAGCTTTTAGACATATTTAATCCTTTCATTTATTGCCCCCAGCCTCAGAAAAGGATCTCAGGAAAAGTTTAACAAATACCACATTGTAATATACCCAGCTAGCTGGAGATATTTATTCAGAGAGCTGTACCACTAAGAAATCATTATACCCCTAAACAAGCTGGGCAGGTCAGTTCATTAGTGAGCTTCTTTCTCTTTTGCTAGAGTAAAACTGAAGGCATTGTTAACCTGCTACACAGCCCTTCAGAGACAATAAATAGTGCTCTCACTGCTACAGAGAAAGCAATAAATGTGTCATTCCTGTTAAAGCTGGAATGCTGGTTTGTAATTTTATTTGTAAATAGTTGAAAGTTTAGATGCCATCCCGATCTTCCTCTCTCATTTTTGGATTCTTTATGGTCAAAACTTAACACTTGTGTTGACTTTCAGTATCGCCTGATGTGTAAAGAACTGGTCTATATAACAAGTAGCTTCTGTGACAGAGAAGCAAGAACTTAAACCCTCCTCTCTCACTTTCTCTCCCTCTCTTCCCTTGTCTGTTTCCCCAAGATAAAGGAAAGCTGTAAAATCTTACTAACCCAAAGGGAGCTTTTCAAAGTTATTGTTGCTTTAAAATACATCTATGTATTTACATTGGCCTGGCATCTGTAAGGCCGGGTGCCTATCTCAGACACATCAGTGAAATCCTGTATGAATCCACTAAAGTCAGTGGAAGTTATCTGGCTGCAGCAGAGATCAGGATGTGACCCTGAATGTGTTGTTCAGTGTTTTTAAAGCAACAGCTATAAGCTCTATGTTCTTTCTTCTTTTCCCCTCCCTCCTTGCATTTCAGCCTCCATCAAATCTGTTTTCTCATTTTGCACTARGAAGTATAAGCAAACTTAATAAAAATAATCTTCCCTTCCTGTCACTTAATACTATTCTCGCAGCTGTACATTTTGATATCCTAAGTATGGGTTTTCTCCATTATGGTCTCAAATTATCTGAACAATATTTCATGTAAGAAGGAAATCCAACTGCCCCTAAAGCTTCCTTATGCCAACTGCCAGTCCTTCTGGATGGCTTCAGCAGTCTGCTTCTCAGCAGAATCCAGACTGAACTCTGCAGTGAACCTGGGTCTGTKACTGCAGTGGTACTGAAAAACAGAACTGCCAGAGGTTACAGGGGGCTTTGTTAACACTGTTGGTTGTTAYCGTGGTAGGTGATAAGGCATGTTGTGTATAACATGCCACATGCACACATACGTTATACACATACATGGGTGTATGTGCACACAAACATACATACGGATTATAAAACCTTTCCATTCAGATCAGAGCTGCTTTTCTTCCCCAGCTGAGCAATTGTGGAGATTCAGTTCAAAGAGTCAGGGCACTCTGGGTTGTGGAAACAGCACAGAGGAGAGGTTACAAAAGTTCAAAGGGGCGTACAGGTAACTTAGCAGTGCTTAACAGATGACTCTGATTTTAGTGGTCATGCAGGTGAATTTGCAGGCAGAGAGAAATTACTCTTTTCTTAAATTCCTGCACTTTAATTTACATGCTTCTGAAATGTTTTTTTCAGCAAATTTGCCTCCTACAGCAATATATAACTTCAATATGAATGGATTTGCATATAATACAAATATGAGAATATAATGCTTTCAGCTTGGACAGTCAATTCATGCAGAACTAACCTTGCAAATTTAACTGATATTTACAGACCTGCCATCATTGGTTCATACATTTAATCAAAAGTRCAAGAAAATTGGTTTCTTCTGTTTTAAAAAAAAACAATCGCAGTCTGATATTTTCTTTCAAAGTTAGAGAAAGCTCACAAAGGATAAGTCTAATGTTATTTTCCTTTAGGGTTACTGTTGCAAACATATTGCAAACCCACGGGAATGTCCACAAACGCATTCATGCCAAAGATCATCTGTGGTTTTGCACTGAAATTTGCCCATGAGGAAACGTAGTTCTTTTGAACCTGAATGTTTTCARTTTACAGGGACAAGCAACATGATGTGAACTCTTTTTAATAAGAAAAAAACCACACCACAGTAGAGCTTGAAACTAATAATCAGGCACCATGGAAAATGATAGTGTCTTGGCTAAATATTTACACTATCAATAGCTGTGTGTGAGGATGAATCCTTTGCAGAAAGAGTGTTTGGTCAAGCTCTTGCCTAGCAATAAGAAAACGGATGGATGTTTTGGTACACGAACTTCTCAGTGGGAGAGCTCAGTGATATCTGACTAAAATTAATACTTGGGAGTGTGAGATAATGCCTTGGTTCTGTTCCCATCTCTGGCAGATCTGCACTGTGCCTCAGTGCTTCAGAATTTAATATGTGTATATTCTGATGTGGGACTATTCTGTGGGACTAATAAGAGCTACAATGACACTTTTTAGAAACGTAAAGAGCTTTTAGACATTCAACATCCATAGCCTAAATTGGTGAAGAGTATGCAGATATTTTTCCTAAAAAAAAATTAAGGAAGCTTTTGTATAAAACTTTATTCCTGAACCTTACTGAAGGGCCCATTTTTTAAGCCAGTTTTTACCTGTAGATAGCCACTGGCTAACGTTAGTATTCCTAGATGTGTATAAATTAAACACAAAAATGTTTCAGATTACATTCAGTTTTTCCACACCTGGGTTTAATGCCCAAATCAGTGGCCAAGCTGGATCAGACAAATAACTCATTGAGGTTCATCTCCTTACTCCAGCAATGACTTCTGAGGAAGGTGAACCTGAGGTGAACACCTGAGCTTCCATTTCTAACTTTCCTATGGGGAAGAGAAGAAACAATATGCAGCTCTTGAGAATTGAGTTAATTTTTTAAAAAATGTAATATTACTTCAGGAATGCTCTAGAGCATATAAAAGTAATCAATTTGCATATAAAATCCCTTAATGTTGATGGGAGTTCCAAGCCTGTAATGAATATGAAATAYGCAGTAGTGACACCCTGGACAAAAGATCTGCAGTGCAGGAGTGTTCAAGGGGAACATTTTGTCTTAAGTAATTAATCTGCAGAAGAGATCCCCTGCTGTTGTTCTTGCTACAATGCTCTCTGTGTTTAAAACATCAATCTAACTTCTGAAAAGTAAAATTTGCAAGTAATATAATTCTTAATTTTAAAGGAATCTTAGTTGTATTACGGTATCCTAATTCTTGGCTTGCTCTGGGAAAATACAGTTTTGCATGAGTAAAAGCTGCAAAGACTTSCATTTTTATAGCCAGAGCTTTGTTTTTTTGTGTATGTTGGGATTGTAATGCTGAGAGCTTCAACCCCATTTTTAACCATCTGTGACTATGTCCGTGGTTTGTCATAGTTTGCAGGATAATTTGCAGAAATTTGGACTATAACTGGTTGGACTCTGGCCTCATAGAAACAACCTATTCTCAGAGCTATATATAAAATTGTATCTTGTAGATGTAAAATTAACTGAATATTCATAACGTTCTGTTACTTTGTAGTTATTCTGCTGCTYCTGTTTCCAAATAAAACGTGAACTGTAGTCTAAATTCAAACTAAGAGAAATAGCATTTTTACAGTGTATTTCATAGAGTTCTTCATTGATTTTTAACATGTACTACTCTTCTTCTGAAAGGTTCTTGTCATTTGGGTTGTGTACTGTATTTCGAAGGTACAGTAATTGATGTAAATAACAGTTGAAATTTAGGTGCCCTTTCGGTACTAGTAATAAGGAATTAGGATGAGTCTCTTTATTTATCTTTCTAAGATACACTGAAATGGCAGTAGAACTATCAAAGCTCAGCCCTAACTGACTATCACAGGATTTCAGTGCCAAAGTAAAAAGAAATGTTTACAGAGTGTTTAAATATTGCATAATTGTTTTCTTTTTTCCTTTAGCCAAACCAACAAGTTTATCACTTCCATTGACACCCGAGTCACCAAAGTAAGTACTAAAAAGTGCAAACATTTATAAAAGGGAGGGGGGTTCAGTAGATTTTGGCTACAGCAACTCCATTTCAGCTTGTTTTTATAAATGTGCCCTGTCTTCCAGTGATCCCAAGGGTTCCCCATTTGAGAACAAGACTATTGAACAAACCTTAAGTGTGGAACTCTCTGGAACTGCAGGTGAGAAATGCAGAGTGTTGGCTCTTCTGCTAAGCATGGCTTGTGTGTGTGTTTGCTCTCTGTAAAATACCACAGGGGTGCTGAGATCTCACAGAAGTCTCCAGCAGATGCACTTCCGTGCAGTTTAGCATTGCTTTTTATCCAGTTACCTGAGAAGAAACGTGTTCGAAATTATGGCTCCAAACCTACACAGGAGAGCATAATTTCTCAGGAAATATGAATGAAACCATTTGTCTGTTATACTTCTCCATTTCCCCATAGATTTGTGTGCGGCTGAGCACCATCTTTCAAAGACAAACCTCACAGCACAGTGTAATAGATGTTACAGATGTGGAAGTTATGTCATTCAGTTTCCAGGCCAGTCTAGGGCTGTACATGACTGCATGTTTCAGTGCTTTGTCAATTCTAGATTAATATGTCACAAATAACAGCTTTCTGCCCTACTACTGAGCAACTTTTTCCATAGCTTAGAAGGGATTTTTAAAAGTGGTATTCATTTTGTGTTCCTGCTTTCTCTTTATTTTCTCCATTAACACACTTCACACAACCTCCCTTTACCTTCGTCTTCCTTTCTGATCCCTGGATTTGTACCTTTTGAAGATTTGTAAGATTTTTTATCATGTAGTGGTTTAGTTCACACATCACCCATTTAATCATTCAATTATTTAGTCTGCTCTTCTCTCTGCTGAAGTCAATTCGTTCAGACTCAGATCTGTTTTATGGCTTTCCTCTGAACTCTGTTTTGCCTCTGTTTTCCTGAAGCRTCCAGAGCCGAGCACAAAAGAACACATTGAGCTCCACCTGAGCTATTGCCAAGACCATTTTGTTTCTCAGTTGTGTAATATTGAAAAATAAGAGATGTACTTGGCATGTGTTTCTCTCAGGATAACAGTAGATTGTAAATTATGTGATCTCCAGCACTGAGAGGCGAGGRGTGTATTGCAAAATATGTCTTCAGGTACTGCAAATCAGTCTGGTGGGCCTAAATTCAGTGGCAGCAGGCCCAAAACTGGGTTTGGGTAGGTACATTGGGCTTTCATCTTCCTGCAACCATCATTTCACTTTTTCAGAAACTTTTTCATTAGTCCAGCATTAAAACTTGAACACTTTTCCCTCCCACATCCTGGAAGCATGAATTCTTAATCATTCCTCTCATGGCAAAAGGAAACATTCTTCCTATACATCTTTGTTTTGCAAAACCAGCATAAACATGGCAAAATCCACTGTATGCAGGAGGATAATCCTGTCCAGTGCCAGTAGGTCTGGAGCATGGAGAAGCCTCTTCCATCATTACTGGAGAGCAAATCTGCACAAGGGTGCCCATTTGTAAGCGCATGGATAAGTCAGTGCTTAGTGCTGCCAGCAGAAAGGGGCAGATGAGGTGACCACAGCTGAGTGCTACAAGCAGCCGTTGAAATCACTGAAGGAAGCAGTGTTYTCTCCCAGCCAAAAAGTCAGCAGCCTGTTTTTCCCATCAGCTGACTAGACAGAAATTGGGAGTCAGTCTGACCCCTGCATAGTCCTCTAGTGTTGCGATCATAGTGGCAACAGGAATGCTCTAGGTGTTACCAAATTCATTGCACTCCRTCAGCTGTGCACAGAGCAGGAGACAAAACAGCTCTGTAGTTGCTTGGACAACATAACCAGCAGAACTGGTGCATTAAAAAAAAAGCATCAGAAGCTGTGAAACAATACAACTAGGCACATATGTAAACAGGAATGTTGTACTATGATTCTATGATTGTTTTTTCCCCTCTGGAAGTAAATAGAAGTTAGCTAGAAAATAAACTGATGATATTCAGGAAGAATAAGAATTGGTAGGGTGTGTGTGGCCAGGGAGCTGGGGTAGTGTTACCAAGCAGTGTGCATAGTGGTGGCTCTTGGACTCACGTTGCACTTGCTCTGGTCTTCACAATGCCTCCTGAGGAGGTTTCAGTAGATCTCATGGTAGCTGTATTAATCTCTGCCTGCACATGAACATACTTTTAATTTTTATATTCATGAATGTATGTAAATCCATAAAAAGATGCATGTCTGACTTTTGAAGTCATTTGTGTTGTGTCCTGACTCTGCTTGGGAGTAAAGTACATAACAGAAAGAGCCTGGAGTACTGAAGAACTTACAGCACATGTGYGTAAATCACAGCAGAATTGAGACCCACATCAGTTCAAAAAACAACAAAAATAAACAAAAAAATAGTGGCAGTAGTGATTTATAATACCTTGAAGTTCTTTAGTGAGACCCTGGCAACTCCAAATTATATCCAGATAACCGCATTGCTCATTGTCCTTATATAGGGCAGCTTGCATTGTAAAAGCACTATTTATTATAATTTAAATAGGAGTTACCTTGATCTCGCTACCAAATTGAAAAGACCATTAGCAGTGCTGCTTGCACTATCGAAGCACAAAGCATTTTAATATAAATAGCAGCTCYCTTGATCTCTGTTGAAAACAACATTGCTTCCCTCACTGATGAATTAACTATAGACTAGAAAAATAAATAAATAAAAACATTTCCCACATGAGCCATCAATCTTCGTCACACACACATTTTGGATTCATGTGCCTAAAGTCAAACTGAAACTATTCTCTTGCCAATGCTATATCTTGCTTTACAACAGATTTGTTAGTAGTCATGAATGTAACTTTGTCCTCCCTAAAACTGTCAAAACATCAATTCGTTGAATTGGTAGAAGCAAATATTCTTTAAAGTGTTTTCATGCCACACATAAGAATTCTCTCAACAGCCTTTAAATAAGTGCCCTAAGTCCATTGCTATCTGAAGTCCTATCTCCTGAAGCTGATTATTCCAGTTGTTCTAAGGAAAACTGGACCAGACCATAATGATGCGGAGGGAGTCCTAGGGGATGATAATGGAGTGAATGAAATTCTTATGTTGGATGACTCTCATTCCAAGTAAGAGGCTCAAAGAGGTCCATCTCCTTTTGTTTCCACAGCCAGCTTCATTGCCAGTGCCTTGCTAAGAGGCTGTGGGTTTGAGCCTCTCTAGTGTCTTCCAGAACCAYGAGATGGTTCTGTGTCACCTCCTTCCTCTCCATTACCAGTGGGATGGGGGGTGGTGGCCGTGCAAGTGCAGGGACTGGGAGGATGGCTCACCTTCTGGAGGTGGCAGTGTTTCTCTTGGCAGTCAAGGGCTCCTCAGTGATTGTTTTAGACTTAATTGCCTTAGACAAACTTCTGAATGCAGATGTTAGATAACATGGCTTCTGATTAATCTCTCTCTGTTTTCTGTGTCTTCTTAAACCTTCAGTCCTAAATACTGAAAGCCACCCTTCGAGTTCATGAAGTCAATTTACATGCTTAAGGMTCAATCAGTAACCAGAAGACTATTTCCTCTTGGTGAAAAGTGTCTCATTTGACAGTGATCGCTGTAATTTATTATAGTGTAAAACTACTGRTTTTGGGGGCAAAATTTGATTTCTCTGAAAAGATGGCAGAAAAAGCTGCATRTACACAATTAGCTTGAATAGCGATTTGGAATTTGTGATCATCCTTGAGGGTACTGATGTCCTGCTATTTGCCCACCTCTAGATCTGTGTTACCTCTTATTTGTCAGAACAAAGTACTTRCAATCTGTCATCTAAGAACTTCTTTGACCTTGGAGTGATTTCTGATAAAATGAGATGTGAAATGTAGAGAGTTGTCCAGAGGGAATAAAATCTAGTGAATCATTTGATGTTTTCAGGCATCTCTGTTTATTCTCTCCAGCACTGACAACAGGATTACTGAATACTCAACAAGCATGTAGCTCTTTATTATATGATGACTATTTAATTTTATTATATTTTCCTAGTTTCTGCAATCTYGTGCCATACAAACACTCTTCTTCCACTGAATTGAGCTGTTATCTTGTGGTCAGTATTTAAAGTGGTCTTAAATAATGTTTACCTTGACAATCCATTTTCAAACTTAAAAGGTATGAAAGAATTCATTTTCAATGCCTCTCAAAAGCCCAGTGCACATGTAGAAAGGTTCCAGGGCTGCATTCCCCWAAAGACATTAATTATCAGCCCCCTCAAAGTACAGCAAACATCATCAAACATTTGAATGCTAAGTTACTGTAGAGATTTAGAAATATCTGTGTCTACGTAAAACAGCATTGCAAATCAGTCCTGAGAAGTCCAGATGTCACTTTTAATGGAAAGGCACTCCCCTAAGTTCTGCTTATCAACCTAAATGAGTTTACACTGAGGGTTTTTTTTGTAGTGGAGCTTTGGAATGTGTCGAAAGGAGTTTCACTCTCCCAGAGATTTTCTGGAAAGAAGTAGTTTGGGCAAGGTGGCAGAGTTGGCACACACGCAAACACTTTTTGTTGCACAGGCACAGGGAGGATGGTGCTGCTTTGGAAGCAGTGCTGGCAATGTGATGTATTCTGTTTTCTAGCACARGATCGCTGAGTGAGTTCGTACTATATAGACAGAGCAAGGCAAAGTGCAAACGTACCATTTACCAAAGCTATTCAATTAAGGAAAAGTCCCTACAAAGAAAATGGTTTTATAGCATGTCATGAAAAAATACTTGCCTTTTACTTTAAAAAGAAAAAAGACTGTTTAAGGGGGATGATTGTAGAGTATGTACCACTTCTAACAGATTTGCTGTGCAGAAGTACATAAGTGTGAGTGATGTAGAGGTACTTGTTTATTATAGAGCACATTTCAATGCAGTAATCATAAATATTGCTAAGGTTGTGCTCTGTTGAAATATGACCTACATACTCTTGATTGTTTGTGTTACGTGATTTGTCTGACACCCATTACATTCTGGGTAATGGCAGCCATTTGTTGCTGTGCACAGCAGGCTCTTTTGACAAAAGAAAATAGGCAGCAATAAAAAAGCTATAGTCTGAATTACATTCTGCACAGCGCTGCACTGCTGAGAGTTTGTGCAAGTGTGTTAACAATGCTCTGAACTGCCTCTTGTCAGCCTTCAGCCTGTAATGGCCATCTGTCCTTCCATAAATCTGTCAAAACCTGCTAAGTTCAAGAGAGAGTACAGAATATACCTTGTACTGTCAACRCTTAAGTGTACACATTGGGGAGAAATTGGTGCGTGTGAAATAATCCGGTGGTTATAGAATATTGTAATGCCATTGATGTGGGATCATGGCCCTCCTTGAAGATTACCAGGGATTAGAGTGAAGATGAACAAGTGTGCAGCCAGCTGGTTTTTCTTAGGATTCAGCRTGTGGAGATTGGTCATGGGGCACTCTGGAGGTGGACTCCATAGAGGTGACATGAATTCAAAACTTCACTCCCTCCTCCATCCCTCAGTGTAGGTTTGTTCAAAAGTTAATGAACATTTTCCAACTTTTATCTGTTTCTACTTGCCTGTGCACTTCCTGCTTCTGCTGAAAACCAGGAAAAAAGCCAGAATGCCACGAGGAAGCCCTTTCTTAGGATGTCCCAGCCCTGTTCTGCCAGCAAGGGAAGTGCCAGTAAATTTAGCTCAGTCTGTACTTTTGTGAGGGATTTTTGGKTTTTTTTGGTACTTTTTTCCCCCCTTTTCTGAAGATTGTTAGACTCCTTGTCAGGTTTCTGGAAACTGTTATACTATGTTTTGCTTGCTTCCTGYCAGAACAAGCTTTAAAGAAGGGGATTTTGAAACAATATTTTATTTTGAATATTGGATTATCTCTGGGATTTCTTTGACTGAAATTCTTAAATATGCATGTTCATTGTGGAGTGATTGTATTTTTGCTTCATTCTTTCATTAAAACTACATCCAAAACCCCAGGAACTAACCCCAGAATTTCCCATGGGCTGTATAATTTCACAAGTAAAAGTATGAGTTCCTATTTTTTTTCCTAAAAAGTTGCTTGCTGCAGTTTTTTTCAATCTGATCCCCAAGTTTTAACTTGAAAATTATTACTGTAGATTTTTGAATAGGACTTTTAATTTTAGCAAAAATTCATTTTGTAGTCAGAAATATTTGTCACTGAGGAGGTGCATAAGGCATGAAATACATACAGCTGTCTCAATTGAATTTTTGGGAAGAAGAAAGGAAAAATTGAGAACTCAGAGGAAATAGTTTAATAGTGATGACTGCACAAAAAAAAAAAATTCATACTAAATTCTAATTTGAGGTAGCTAGAGTTTTAGGTGTTACAATCTTTGCCTCAGTTTCCTTGAATTTTGTGACATTGGGCAAAGTGTTTGCATAGCCRTGGGTAGCTTGTAACCATTTTTCTCAAACATTGAGGCAAAATCAAGCATCTCTCTCACATCAAGTATTCATGCCTTGGTACTCCTATCTTCTTATTTGCTAGAAGAAATCCATTGCAGATAATGCAGTGGGACTCCCAGTCTGCATTTATGTTCCTTAGGGAGCACTGTGCATTGATGGACGCTTTTCCTTCTTTACAGCAAAACACTATAAAACATGTTTCATTTGCATTGATCTGCTGAGCTCTGTTGCATGTGTAAAAATACAAAACAGAGCTCTATAGCCATGACTGAAACACACATTTCCTGTAACTCTGCTCTCTTTGCATTCTTGCTAAGGAGTCAATGGAAAGCTCATTGCTTGGGCTAGTATTCTTGGACAGCATGAGCCTCTGGATTGTCTTGGAGAACTCCCTAAGCTCCATCTAATTYGTTACATTTTAAACACATGTTACTAAACTACATTAGTGTCAATTGGACAGAGGCAAGTTTTTCAAATATAACACTCTGAATACCTTCCTGGTGAGAAATTATTTCCTGAAAAGTGTCTGCTGTTTGCTACTACTCTGCCCGGACGTCTGGTGTTATCCTTCTGTCAAGTTTGAAGAAATTATATTATTTCTATAGAAAATATTTAAWGTTATATTCTACTCTTATAAAAATAACAGGAAGATGCTGCTTCAGTTCCCAGGCTTTAATGAAACATCCTGTAGTCCTTTCTGCAATTTTGTCTCATCACAGTGATATAATCTATTACAACTATGTAAATAATCCTGTTAGTAACCTATTTAGTAATTGAATACTTACGTGTTCATTTTGACTCCCTACTGCATGACTCTCACCAAGATATAGTTCTAAATGCAGTGGTTCATTACAGTTGTGATTGTCCTGTTGCTCATTTGGGTTTCAGTTGTAGAACCATATTTCAGGCAAAATGTTATTCTTACAGAATGTTTTATATATATATTAGCAATAGTTTTCTAATAGTTTTTAATGAACTCTGGAGTAAAGGAGTCATTGCCATTGAGTTGTAGGGTGGCTGTATTTCCTTGCATTTAATTTCTGTGTCCTTTGGTAGCACTCAATTATTTCTCTTGGCCTTGCTTTTATCCAGGTTCTTGTCTGCTAGGTTCTTTATGTTTTTGATGGTGCCRGTCTTTTGACTTTTCATTTTTATATCAAAATCTATTTTATATTTAACAATAACGTCTTTTGGGTTTCATCTCTTGATCTTTTGTATCAAAATCTACAGAGAGAGGGGCGGATGTCGTGGAAAAAGGGGAGGGGCAGAAATCATGCTGAAGATTAATGGCAATTCATTAGTATTGTTGCTATTGTTGTTACCAGACCTTTGGTAGTTTTATTCTCAGGTTACTAGTGTTGAAATGACATAGAATGGGTCTTGCTTTGTATCTATTTTAAGAAGTGTGTCAGCCACCTTTATAAACATTGTATGTGTGCTTTAAAACATTCTGTTCCTCCTTTGTCCCTGTAGGCCTAACTCCACCTACGACCCCTCCTCATAAAGCCAACCAAGATAATCCTTTTAGGACTTCACCTAAACCGAAGTCATCATGCAAGACTGTTGTACCACCTTCAAAAAAGCCCCGCTATAGTGAGTCTTCTGGTTCTCAAGGAAATAACCCAATCAAGAAGGGTCCAGAACAGTCTGAGCTGTACACACAGCTTAACAAGACTACAGTACTGTCCAGTGGACATGAGGAGAGAAAGACAAAACGGCCCAGTTTGCGGCTGTTTGGTGACCATGACTACTGTCAATCTGTGAATTCAAAATCAGAAATACACATTAAAATATCCCAGGAACTTCAGGACTCCAGACTACTAGAATTTAAGGATTCTTCACCTGGGTGGCAGTGTCAGATTTGTTCTTCTTTAGAACAAGACCAGTATTTCAAGAAAGAGACTTTACAGACAAATAAGGAGGGATCCCATGGTAATAACAGAAAACAGCTCCAAGACCAGGAAATTCGGGCTGAACTGAATAAGCATTTTGGTCACCCCAGCCAAGCTGTTTTTGATGAAGAAGCAGATAAGACCAGAGAACTAAGGGACAGTGATTACAGTAATGAACAATTCTCCAAACTACCTATGTTTATAAATTCAGGACTAGCAATGGATGGTCTGTTTGATGACAGTGAAGATGAAAGTGATAAACTATGCTACCCTTGGGATGGGACACAAGCCTATTCATTATTTGATGTATCACCTTCTTGTTCTTCTTTTAACTCTCCATGCAGAGATTCAGTGTCTCCACCCAAATCCTTATTTTCTCAAAGATCCCAAAGGACACGCTCTGGGTCAAGGTCCTTATCTCAACGCAGGTCTTGTTCCCGTTCTCCATATTCCCGATCGAGATCAAGGTCGCCCTGTAGTAGATCCTCTTCAAGGTACGGTACAGCAAATTCATGTATGATCCTTGTAGTTAATAAGAACAGCAAAAACACAAACTTACAGGAAAGAAAGAAAAAAAGCAAGAAATAACTTAATCCAGTGCAACTCCTGAGCTGATTAACTCTCAAGGTTACRGGCTTGCTACAGAAACACTTGTTTCCAATATCCTTTAAATTTGCCAGGTTTACACTTTCTGAGTGGAGGCAGTCAGGTCAGAGGCAGAGCAATTGGTGAGAGATGTAYACAAGTAACCTTTCCCATTATCTGTGAGCTGCCTGGTGCCAATCTAGCTGCAACCTCTATCAGATGAAGTTGACAGTGCTGGCTGGCTGCTCTGTGTTAGCCTCAATAAGGAACATTACAGAAGGGCCAAGAGGGGGGAAATCACTTGAGGCCCCTTAGTTGACCAGGAGATCACAGACTGTCACCGGAAAATCCCACTGGTAACTGAGAAGAAATTGTAAGTTCAGGATAGAGGTAGAAAATGGTGTCAGTAGACTCAAATGGAATGACAGAGGTGAATGTGTTTCTTCCTGCAGATCTTGTTGCGATTATGAGTCCAGCCACTGTAGACACCGAGCACACAGAAGTTCTCCCTTACGTGGAAGATCACGGTCCAGATCACCGTACAGTCGCAGACCCAGGTAGTGCCTTTGGCCCGCATTTGGTTTGCTTTGCAGCTGTTYCTCAGGAGATAATTATAGAATCATGGAATCATTAAGGCTGGAAAAGACCTCTGAGGTCATTGAGTCYAACCTTTGGCTGAATAGCCCCTCTCAACTAAACCACAGCATGTCCACTCATTTCTTGAGCACTTCCAGGGATGGTGATTCTGCCAATYCCAATGCCTAAATGCCCCTTTCAGYGAARAAATTCTTCCTCATGTCCAACTGGAACCTCCTCTGGTGGAGTTTGAGACCATTTCCTCTTGTCCTGTCTCTAATTGCCTGGGTTAATGAAGCATTCCAGAAACTTKTATGTCTAATTTTACTCTCACAAATGCAGGTGCTTGATTTATTGACTAAGTTTTATTTCCTAGATATGACAGCTATGAGGAATATCAGCATGAAAGGCTGAAGAGGGAAGAATACCGCAAAGAGTATGAAAAACGGGAATCTGAAAGGGCCAAGCAAAGGGAGAGGCAGAGGCAGAAAGCAATTGTAAGCACTGTGAAAATAACTTTCGTATTGAAACAAATTTCTGTTTCTTTTCATAGATTCTAACGCTAGAATTCAGATTTTATTTTTTTCTTTTTTATAAAAATACAAAAATTTGCTCATGTATATTTTTTAGTATTCCTCATTTTAAACAAATGCATGTTTTTATAATAATTTCTGTTTTGATGTCACACTACTAACTTTTTCAAGTTCTATAAATTGCAAGTCTTAAGTTTTCACAAGGAACAAATACAGAGAACTGACCAGAGAAAGGGGTCATGCCAGATGATACACAAGTAGATGAGAGCTAGTCTATTTTTTATACAGATATCAGTGAACTTGCATTTTAAACTGTGTATCACCTGCCAGACATATGCAGTATAAGGAGTCAGCTGATACACCAATTGCTGAACTTTCAGAGTGGCTGTAATTGTCTTTACAGCAGGTGCAGACAACAGAACTCAAAACTGGGATCCAAAGACATGACTTGAATTAGAATTTTTTCAGTATCTATGATTTGGTTAATTTTTAAGGTATTTTTAGCAAAATAGTCTGATGACACAATGCAATTTAAAATATCACTTAACACTGGCCCTCTTGAAATGAATATGTGTTATTTAATTATTTTGTTCATCAGAGTTCTCTGTGAAACAACTGAAATACCTGAGGCAAAGGAAATAACCATGTGGGGATAAGCAACTCTCTTGGTTGTTGTTTTACCAATAGGACCAAAGGAAGAATGGCTATTAAGAGGATAGGTGGCTTTTGCCCCTTCCGAATTCCCCACTGGCAACTGCATTTTGATAAATTAAACTGGGATCTGCTGTAAATCTGGACTACTCTTGTTGTTGCTAAGCCAGTTTTGTGGGTCACCTAAACATTTTGATTTTCTGTGTCCTGCTCTTTCCATTCAGCTGTACCTACACTGCTGTTCTGGCTGTGCTCTGGCTCATGCAATGAACTGGTACAGACCAGGACACTTCATCTTCGTTGCCAGATTTTCCATTAGTGCTCCGTCCAGAGGTCACCAAAATTAATAGGTCTTTTTCCCAGTGCCATTAGTGGACTTTGTAGCAAAAGGTGATTTGTTACAGACTTGACAGCATTTCTCCTAATGTGCCTGCAGAACCAAGAGTGTGTAGAGACTGACAGAGACTGGCATAGTCTACAGCAGTGAGAAGTTCTGGGAGTGAACAGACAACTTTATGTTCTGATTTTTGTCTCTGATACTGTAGTTCTTAGTGAGCTTCAGCAAATCATTTCACTTTTCTCTGTTTCAGGTACCCCATTTACAAAGTGTGGGTGATAGGTATATTTTGTAAAGCAAAAGATTTAGAGCTGTAACATGCTCTGCTGTGCTACTCTGAAATGCAGTGAAGGCAATGGAATAATTTTGTTTGGCTTCAGACAGGGCTATATTTAAGTCAATTGTTGCAGTTAGTTTTAAAATATCTGGCTTCCATCTGCTTGGAGATGAACACTACCTTCCAGCAATCATAACTTACACTGGCTGTTCTGTCTTAGAGCTAACACAAATTACAGATTCAAGTAGACCTCTGTCATGGGTGTATCTTGCTACTTCTCAATTACTGTACCTTACCCATATAAATAAACATGAATCCYGCTGAGGAGGTAGAAAATTTGATTTAGTTTAAAACAAACAAATATTTGGCAAGTAGCTAATCAAGAGAAAGGGAAAGAAAAGAAACTTAAAAAGCTSCAGATATGCTGCATCATACTTCCTGCATTAAAAATTCTAGACAATTCAAAACCAAGGCTGAATTTATTTTCTTTCTAAAGTGAGCATTTTCATTATAATTAAATCAATTAATGGAATTATTTATTAATAAACATAAATAAATCAAAACTAAAAATAAATATCAATAAACAGAACATGGCAAAAAATCTAAAATCCAGTCATCTGTGTGGATTCCACAGGAAATGTAGATTAAATCCTATTAACTCCTTTATCCAAAGTCTACCAGCGCTTTTACTTTAAAAATCTGTTTTGAACTGTGCTGTTTTATAYCCTGAGAAAATAGTTAAGGATTAGGAGACAGCACAGAAAGGGAATCTCCAATTTCATTAATTCAGTGATAAAATTTGTATTATTTCYAGCATTCTCTGCTCTTTTTCTTCCACCTTTTGGTTTATGGGTCTCTTTTGTGTTACTCTTTTCATTCTTGAAGGACTCAATTCATTTATCGTTCAGCCACAAGAATGTTCTCTCTCTCTTTCTTTGAGCTCTTTCTACAGTCCCATAAATTTAGATTTCTTTGCTCTCTGCATTGGGGAATTTTTTMTTTTCTTTCTAGCCCATTCTCATACTGCCAGAACTGATTTATGGCCGCACACCTCCAGATGCTGTTAGAAGAGTGCCCAAAGACTGGGCAGTACTAATGCTTCAGCTGTGACCCAGGAYAGGTGGGAAGCACCATGCTAAGATCTCAAGAGTTAGTTGTAGAAAGGATGCACAGTAGAAAAGGAACAGAAGTTATGACAGAGCCAAAAGTCATCATGTATTGTGGAAGCAGTATCTGAAATTAGCCTCTGTGGGACAACAGGCATGGGAAGCATAGGGAAAAATGAGAAAAAAATAATACTATAAATTTTTTAATCTGTCAAAATCATATGTGAAGCAATGCCCTCTGATGGTGCAGGCAGCTTGTATTTTGGCAGATGTGAGGGCATTTTGACAGAATACTGAGGAGGCTTGTTTCAGAAGCCTGTGCTCATGCTGTRTGGCGTGGGTGTGTTTAAAGGCTGCCCCTTCAGGCTTGCACACACCACCTTCGCTGGAGGAGATTCAGAGCTACAAGCCTGAGATAGTATTTTCCTGAGTAGAATCCTGAATTCCTATCTAGACTTACAGCTATGTACAGGTGATTTGACTTCAAAAGTTACAGTGATACACTTCTCATCTTTTCTTCTTTTCCGCTCTCCACTTACTGGAGATTCAGTGCCTTTTTTTTGTGGACTGAGGTCTTAATTTTGAGCAGGCATGCTTGAAAAATAYAGGCTGAGCCCACAAAGTACTTGGAGAGTAAAAAAAAAGTTTTGTCATTCTTCATTCATTCATTCATTCACTTGTCCTTTTGATTGTGATTCCTTTCCTAAGTGAGAATGTGTTAGCACAGTTTAGTTTGATCTTGATTTGTTTTATTTCTGGGTCCTGATTTTTTTTTTAATATATTCTCACTGAATAAAAATGGTCCTCTGCCAAGACTTGCTCAACTATAGAATGCTAGCCAGATCATACTGAGACACATGTACTATGAAATTTGAGGAGCTCTTCAGGACAGGACAGTTAGTRCTTTGTGGAAACTGGGATGCAACTCACACCCAAGGCACATCCATGACTTGCCAGGAGGTCTGAGGACACCTTTTTTCTTCTGATACAGCCCAGGAAATTTTGAGTTGTGTGAGCTTTTACTACAGCAGTTCATTAGATTGTGTGGCAAATACTTGTCAAAGCGTGGCACCAGAAATAGCACATTCCATTTTTGGAGTCACTGGCTGCTGATTCCTCACTGAGATGGTGCCCCAGAGCTGGGAGGTTGAGGTGTCTGACGAGCAGCTCAGTGTTGTGGCTCTCTGCTGCTCCGCCACTCTGGCCATGGTACTTTTTGTGCAGCCACATCCTCCATGCAGCTCATTTACTGTGTGCACTGGCTACTGCCAAGAGGTGTAACAAAACCAGGTTRTACTCAAGTAGAAAGTGACAATTAACATTACTGCTTTTCATTTTTAAATGCTGACAGCCTCCATGAGACAAGTATCAAGAGTCCCAGTCCCAGAGAGCTCACAGACGTAAGAAGATAAATGTGCTGTGAGGCCACTGCAGCGGAAAGAAACACATGGTTTCAAAGAAAATAAATGGCTCTAAAACAGGAAGGCAGGAGAAAGGTGGTTTCATAAATGAGTGCTTGCCTGCTCTAAAGTCTAAAACCAGATTCAGCCTATAATAGAGTACATTTCCACTTATGAAGGATTCAATGTATGTTGTATATTTAGTTTGGATTTTTTTGTTGTTGCTCATCTTTATGGCCTAGATCCCAGGTACTCTAATTTTGCTGTATATCTTTCTGAAAATATATCAAATGGGTTACCTAAATTTTGAGGTTTACTGGTCCATCATTATTTTTCTAGCTGTCACCATGGAGTGTGTCTGAACTATTCTGCCCTCAGTTACCCACACAGCAGCATGTGATAATCTTGTTCTTTCTTTTTTTTCAGTTTTTGTGATTTTTACTTTTGCCATTCATACTTACAAGCCATACTAATTTTTCTTTACTCAATTTAAAGAAATTTTTTCTCATTATTATTACATCAGAATCTTAAGCTTTAATGGCTTTTTTCCACCCACAGCATTTCTATTTTTACAACTCCATCCAACCAATCCCCTTGCATTTTCAAAATGATGGTTAGCCTTCAGCTCTAAGGATAAAAGTCTTCATGGCTTTCTACTGGAAGAGAAGTCACTTGGTACAGAAGGCAACACAGGCGTGGGGTGTGTACCCAGCCAGCCACCTGTGCTGGAGCGAGGAGCAGAGCCTTTGCAAGCCCATAGCAGAACCCTGCTTTGAAATGCTCCTGCATTTCTTCTCTCAGCTTCACATAAAGCCTTACCTGGCTCTTGGAGAACTAAATATGCACCACAGATGTGCAGATGAAAAGTGGTAGGAAAATGGGAACAGCAGCACAATGCTGTGTTACCTCTGGAGTGGCTGCCTTCCATTCCCATGGGCCCTGCTTAGCAGCACCACAGGCAGGCAAAGCCAGCAGCTGTTGGGGGAAGAAGCCAAAATGCYCTCTTTTTCAAGTAAAAACTGACACATCTAATGGTCTGTGGTTAGTTCCTTATAAATACTTAGGAATAAGRGAGCACAAAAAATAAGTTTTGTAGGAGTCCTTTGCAAGACAAGAAGATCCTTATCACCAGCTGTGGAGGACAAGCGGTCCCTTTATTGACCCTTAGATGTGTAAGGTACATCCTGGTCATATTTTCTCATATTTTGGTATTCTAATGCTTTAGTGTTTCCATTTGAGACATAAAATACTGCTTGTCAGTCAGAGATTTTCTGCCACGCCTTCCTATTCAAATGTTTCTACTGCAATGAAGAAAGAGCAAGTTTATGAGAAAAGATAGACATGYTAGGTATGAGGGAGTTGACTGGACTATTCTTTTTTTTTTTTACCTGGCAGAGCAATGAGACACACTTAAAGCTTATGATGCAAAATAAATCATGCTTTTTCCCTCACTTTCGTGAGGGGAATATGAACAAATACCTTCTAGAGTTTCTTGCGATTCCTTCTGCCCATACAAAATTGAAAACAAAAGCTTTTCTCTGCCATTCTCTAGGTTTCCAAGTCATCTATCATATCCTCTAACAAGTGCAGTAAACAGCTTACTTAATATGCACATATAGACTTACACATGTAACTTACTATCAAAAAAAGTTCTTTAACATTTAGAGGTGTGTTGTAATCTTGTTAGGCTTCTATAGCTCTTATTATTAATGGGAATAAAAGGAAGGTGTCTCTGTGAATATTAATACATTCTTCATAGTGACTTCAAATAAGCCAGAGTTAACCAAAGCAGTGACAATGCTGTATGAGTCCTGTGTTCTCTGGTATCTTATTCCATCATGGCACTCTGCTTAAAAAAATACTTGAACCCATCTCCTCATATGTGCACACTGGCAGACATATGGTGCATTTCAGCTTTAAATTTGAATTTCCTTAATTTTGCAGGTTTAACTTATTCCCTTAACAGTAGTTTAACAGGCTTTTTTTTTTTTAATTGTTCAGTTTTGGTTTATTACAGTTGTCTTAAAGGGATATTAGAGATATAAAGGTTATTAGAGGAATAGAAGAAGGAAAAATTGCACAGGCATGCAGACAGACTTATGGGAAAGTGTGCAATAGATATTTCCATCACACTGTAATATAACAATCTCCATGTCAGTGAGTGAAACATTATGTTTTTTTTCAGTTGAGATGAATTATCTCAGCTAAAGTATATTAGACAGTCTGCTGTGTTATGTTCTGCTCCATCTGGTCAGTCATTTAGGTTCAATAGCAAGTATCAATGGAATTGTTTCTTATCAAGTGTTTCAGTGCGGTTAAATCCTTGATTTGGTAAAACAGTCTGAAAAAGTAATTACTGTGCATATGCAGATTTTCCTGTTCTTGAAGTTTATGGCAGCCAACCATAGTGAAAGTAAGCAGAATTGGAATGGGGAAAATTGAAGAAATGCAGATTTCTGTTGCTTGCACTCTACAGTCCCTGGTTCACAGAAACCCTACCCAAACTCCTCTGTCAGGAAGGTCAGGGCTCCGGACTGGGACACAGTAGAGGCAGAGATAAAAAGCAGCAGCTGTCTGGAAAGTACCCTCGTGCCCTAAATGTATGGCTGCCCATGAGCACAAGTCCWTTTAGCCGTGCTAGCTTCCCCAAACTGTGCTGCTGTGGCAGAGGATAAGGGCAGCTTTTGGACCCTGCATTTTGGGAGGTGTGACATTTGAAAATGGAAGTGTCTGTCCCAGCATTGTTACACAGGACTACCAAGGCACTCATGCCGGTTCTTTACGCAATCAAAAGAGGCAGTAGTTTCAAGTATCTAAATGAGATACTTGCCTGGTCCCACTGGTTAAGGAGAGCTTGTACTTACTTTGGTAGAGCAAACAAGGACTCTGCTGGACTGACCAGGGAGCTATAAGGGACACAGGTATTTCTTGTGCCATTCCTTGGTGGGAAGGGCTTTTGGATAGGAATGTTTGATTCTTGTATCTCTGTTTTCTGCAGTTTTATACTTTCATTTCACAGGAGCTTTGATTAACWGGATCTGAGCCCCTGAGATTTGTGAGGCCAGGAAAAGAGTCAACAAAAATAGTTTTCTGAATGTGCTAGTAAGAAGGAGTTTCTGCTGGGAGACAGATATTTTAGTGTCGCCTTCCTGCTGCAGGAATTGTTTGTTTATTTTGCATTAAATAGTTCCTGGGAGCAAAGTTCTCTCCTGGGAACACGAAGCCAAGATTTTCAGCGCCCCTAACTAARAGTTCTGATGGCCTCTATCTCAAATGAATACTCAAACAAATAAAGAAGTGACATCAATATAATTTCTGGTTTTACATGTGTTTTGGTCTAATCTCAATTGTATTGTCCATGGTCCAAGAATGACTAGTGCTTTATGCCTCTGTGGGGACTCRTGGAAAAGATACATTCTGTGCTATATCTGAATTGTAACACTATAAACTACCTGTCTCTTCAGGCTAGAATGTTTCTKAGCAGGAATGCAAGTCTATATTTAGGTCCCTAGTGCCTTTTGCATTGCACAGTTGAGGTGCCATTAGCCTTTAGGCACCTCCAGGTTACGATAGTCATGAATTCTCAGCAGTCAGTGTAGCTCCTTCGGCATTCGGCACCTAAATTCTGCACAAGTCGCAGGTGCCAAAGCTGATGGTTTAAACTGACATTGCTCCACTGACTGACAGATTTACACCAGCTGAGAATGTGGTGGTGGTTGGATTTATGGGGCTGCTGTGTGGGTGTGTAAAGGATGAGCAGCGGGGCCAGTAGTGCCAGGCCAGAGGCAATTGGAGACGGGGAGGCTGAGCACCCAAGCCATGTATAGCTGGGGCTTCTTTGCCCTGATTACCTTAAGGTCAGTGCTCTAAAGAACTCCTTTTTCCTTTTTCTTTWCTTGCAGCTCACTAAGTGGCTCTACCCTCAGAAGAGTGTTTATCCTAAAATGCAAAAAATTTTTGAAGTGACTCTTGCAGGGCTTCCTAGTCTGTCCCTCATTCTCCTGAGCATTACCACTAAGGAAAGAAGGACATGACTGTGACTTGATTGTTATAAAAGTATCTGATGCTTTGTTCCAAGTATTGAAAGAACATGCAGAAGACACCCTAGCCTAGGGACTTCAGTCAGTTGATTTTTATTCTGAATAAACCAAAAGGAAATGGTGACTGCAGGATATATTTTACTGTCCTGTCATTGCCCCAGAAATATTTATTTTAATAAAAGTCATCTTTTYGACCCAGTCCTGGTTTCAACTGGGATAGAGTTAATTTTCTTCTTAGCAGCTGGTACAGGACTGCATTTTGGATTTAGTATGAGCATAATGTTAATAAGACATTGATGTTTTAATTGTTGCTAAGTAAATGAAAGACTTTCCGATTTCYCATGCTCTGCCAGGGAGCAGGTGCACAAGATGCTTGGAGGGAGCATGGTCAGGACAGCTGACCTGACCTGGCCAAAGGGATATTCCATACCATATGGCATCATGCCCAGTATATAAACCAGAGAGAGTTGGCTGGGAGAGGCAGATCACTGCTCAGGGATAGGCTGGGTATCAGTCAGCGGGTGCTGAGCAATTGTAGTGTGCAGCACTACTGCCCTAGTTTCTCTAGGGTTTTATTCCTCTCTCTCCCCTTTTAATTACAACTACTATCATTATAATAATAATTTTTATTATTATGTCTTACTCTGTTTCAGTTATTAAGCCAGTCTTAGCACAGGCATTTTACCTTTTCTGATTTTCTTCGCATCCCACCAGGGAGCAGGGAATGAGTAAGGGTCTGCATGGTACTTAGCTGTTGGCTGGGGTTATAGTATGACAGCTTCAGTTTTCCCTCTATTTTAGGGTATGGATTATTTATGGTGGAGCAGGATTGCAGGTTGAATCAGCTATTGAGTCATATGAGCTTATAACATTATKCGTGTAAAACATTTTGTTGTGTCTGTGGTACTCTTATGCAATTACTGTGTTACTTTATGCTGCTCTGCAGCTGAGATGAGTTTTGCTCAGCATTTTATACATGGCAAGAGAAAAGGAGCTCCTAGTTTGGAAGAGTTTGCAGTCCTGGATGGGATAAAAAGGGATAGGATACAAACAGGAGAAAATTAGGATACAAACAGTAACAGCGATCAGTGAACCCTTCCAGGAGCACACCACCTGACAAATGTAGTGTCATTTAGATACTTTAGATGCTTTCTAGAAGAGAACTATTTCACTTACTTGCGAGATGCAGTAGGTCTTCCACGAGAGACTATTATTTCTATAATTGTGTATCACCTGCACATCTGTGTGTRTTATTTGCATGCATGTATGTTACAGGTTCATTTCTATTACACATTTGTTAAAAATATCCCTTCCCAATTGCTCTTTGTCAACAGGAAGAACGTCGTGTGATTTATCTGGGTAAAATCAGACCTGACACAACCCGAACAGAACTGAGGGACCGGTTTGAAGTTTTTGGTGAAATTGAGGAGTGCACAGTAAATTTGCAGGATGATGGGTAGGAACTTTTGAGATTAATTCTTGTTTGAGAGCTGCCATATGTAAAAAATTATGGCAGTAAAATTACTGGTATGGGAGTTACCAGTATAAGTCCTGTGACAGATGACATGCTGAGTTCCAAACCTTAGTTATTTTCTTTCATCCTTATTTATTAATCTTGGTAGTTGAGATTTCCTGTCCCAGAAATAAGTATTTAGCTGCATGACAGGACAATCATGCTGATAAATGGATGCAGTACTTGTGGCATTTCCACTGCTGGGTCTCTGGCAAGTTCTTGCTTTCAGGAAGGGGTTACACTAATATGTGTTAACTCTTTTCAGCTTTTGTTCACAACTGTGTTTTTCAATGGCAGAGACAGCTATGGTTTCATCACCTACCGCTATACTTGTGACGCCTTCGCTGCTCTTGAAAATGGATACACTTTACGCAGGTCAAATGAACCTGATTTTGAGCTGTACTTCTGTGGACGCAAGCAGTTTTGCAAGTCTAACTATGCAGACCTAGGTAGGTATTTCCCTCTCTGTGAGTTAAAGGGTACATAACTGGAATCTTGTAATTCAGGAGAATTTAGGGTTCGCTTGTTTTACGTTTACTGCTRATATCGTTTAAATGATTGGAGGGGTGTTGAAGAAAGTGATTTTCACTTGTTGTAAGAAGTTTAGAAGTCTACTAATCTGAGCTGGCTTCTTTTAAATATTCTAAACTCTGAAAGCCCATTTCCATCATCATCAAAAGTAAGTTCCCAATATTCAATAATACATTTCTAAGTTGTAAAGATAGCACCACAGAAACCTCCCACATGCTTTACTATTTATGGAATAACTGTTTGATTCCCATATCTCATTTATGTGTAAGAGTAGTAAACAGAGGACAAAGCAGATGCCTCAACCCAAAACYTTCAATATGATTCTTACTTTGCCATGAGTTCTGTTGTAGATGGGCAGAATTTGCCAGGGGCACTCCTTAAATTTAATTCATAGTTACTCAGTTTTGAAAGCTAGAAGGGCTTGTGGCCAAATCTGACCCTTAGGGTGGCAAAAGCCACTGATCTCAACTAGTGATTCTAAAATTGTGCCTTAGCATCCATGTATGAAGGTGTCTCCYTGCAGGGACTTCCACTGATGATGTAAGAGGCTCCAACCTGTGGAGAGTTTAGCAAATCTCGTGGTGTTTGCAGTTACACTGGTGTGGGGCTCTGTGCACACCAGTCTCCAGCCCCCAGGATGCTGTGATAACTCCAGTACCAAGTGTGTTTGCTGGCTGTGACAACCCTGCTGGGTCTCTCTGAGTCCTGCCTGGGCAAAAATGTATGGTTCTGACCCATGCTCTGAGTCAGGGTATGGTACTTCCCCTTGCAAGGATTTTTGAAGATGTTCAAAGTCTTACAGCAGGAATACTGATGTTTAATACATGCATAAAGAGTCCGTGCAGACTACCCAAAACAGCCTCTGTAATATTACAATATATTATAAACTCACCTCTTATTTAATTACCTTTTAAAATGTAAAGTATTCATTAAATGTTAAACCTTTCCTAATACCTGTATAAATAGACTAAAGGCATGGGAAATATTCTTTTCTGAATAACACAGCAAGGCACATTTTGCTGTTGAATCTATATTAATCAGATATTGTGGATTTTTTTATGAATAAATGACCACAGTCATTAAAATCTCTCATAACCCTGTAACACAGTGCTAATGAAATCTTGTATGTGCTGCCCTCGGCTTTGTACAAGGCAGGAAGTGAATACAGATATATTTTTTCTAACCAATTGATGTCTTTTCGAAATAAATTATAAAGATGATACGCATTGTTCACAATGAATATGCTATAATTCACTTCAGTGGCTAAACAGATAATGTAAAGCTAAGAAAAGGCAATTGACTGCTGAAGAGATATAGGGTTGATGTTGAAAATATAAAAGCTAGCAAGACATTTGTCGAAATGTAGGCTGATAAAAACAGTAAAACCAGATTGAARTCTTGCCTCGATTTGACTTATCTTCAGCAATGGAAACCAAGGTCATCTCTGTATCCCAGAAAATCTGGGGTTTAAAATAAGTTGTCTGAAGGGAACCCTCTTGAACATTATTCATCACTGGGAGTATTCCCTGTCAGTTCTCTCCATAGTGAGTGGGATTCCCAGAGTRTCTGTGAGCAGACTATTTTCACTTTGTCCTGCTGACAGCTTGAGCTTCTGTACTTCAGACTGCATTCCCTGTATTTTGCAGAGTATCTGATAGAGCAATATAAGGAAATGGCAGGATGAACTTTAAAATTCATGAGCTGGTACCAGGACAGAGAGAATTAATCAGCTTTGGGTTGAGTACAGAAGAAAGAAAACACTTGGAAATAGTAGTCAGAAGTTTAACACCTCTCCTCTGYGAGAAGATATTGTCTTAACAGAACTTGTAATGAACATTTAATGCACAGTGTGTCTTATAGTGGTAGATGGGGAGTTCTGATTAATTCAACACAAGAAATGGCAAGAAAAGGGTACTCTCATAAAGGAGCTGTGACACAGGAACTGGAGAGAGTCAGTGTTGAGCAGGGCTGACTCCAAAAGGAAATTCAGTGCTTGCAGCCATGTCAATAATTGCTGTACTGGAGCTGTGTGGCCACAAATGTCCAGTCCCTTCTCTGTGCTCAGAGCAGACTGACRTCCGAGTCTGGCAAAGCTGGAGCAAGTGTCCCAGGTCACAGGGRCTGGGCTGCTGTGTCTGCTGTGAGTTCCATGTGTGGTGCAGAGAGCTGGGAGCCCACCCTGACACTGCTCACACAGCCATGCAGAGACCCTGCCCAGAATTGCTCATGCTCTAAACAAGCAAACCCAAAAAGATGAGTTGAAGCAAAACCAGAGATTCTGGGAGGTGTAGTGACATCCACAAGACCCCAAGGCAAGGCAGACAGAAACAGCTGTGTCTTCTGTGCACTGCTCACTGGCTGTCCTGGCTTTCTTCAGAACCTTTCTCAGGAGAATTAGGTCTTGGATATTGCATGTCATGAAACAGCAGTTGCAAGACAAAGGCGGAGTTTTGGTTAGGGCATCTGTCAAGATTCTTGGGACTATGTTGAGACCAGTACACAAGCCTTGGTGCTCAAGTCCTCGAGGAAACTGTTTTGAGTTAATCTACTCTAGATGTACATGCGATTAATGGTTCATCCCAGCTGCTGGTGACTGTACTGCTTCTGTTAAGTCCTGCTTCTTGCCAGAAAACTCTGTTCATGCCTAAAGCATGAATGATAATTTATAAGCTTTTATAATTTTCTAAAGTTGTGGTTGTAAGTGGATTGTTTCTTCAGAGCCTTGTGTGTTCTAATATACAGAGACAATAAGTGGTTCTTGCCTCTTACCTAAACTTGCATCCTTTTGGTTTCAGATTCAAACTCAGATGATTTTGATCCTGCTTCCACTAAAAGCAAGTATGACTCCATGGATTTTGATAGTTTACTTAAAGAGGCACAGMGGAGCCTGCGTAGGTAACAAGCGTGTCATCCAAGGAAAACAAAGGGATGGCGAATACCTCACGGACATCACGTCCTTCAATAACGGACAACTAAAAAGTCGTACTTAGGAATTTCTCCTACTTTACACTCTGTTCAAAACCATGGTTTACATGAACACAGCTGCTCGAGGAGTGGAGGGCAGGATGCTGTCCAGTAAGCACACGCATGTCCATGGGTGTCAGCTTCGCTTTCGCGGGTGAGCGGTGGCGGGGGAGCCGGGCGTTCCTTGCGAGTTCAATGCAAATCACGAGACATGGCAGCAGTTCCACAGAGATACACGTACAACGATGAACTGCAAAATCTGTACATATTGCATTTTAACAAAAAAAGAACAAAAACAAACAGAAAAAAACCCCAGTGTGAGAACTATGGCTGCTGATGTCTGGGGATCAGACACTGCTTTTCTTTTTTTTTGTAAAGAAGCTTCTTCTCACAACATGGTGATAATATGACAATCCAGAAGAAACCACAGGTCCCAGAAGCCTACAATCTGTCTTAGCTTTGTTTTTAGATTTTTTTTTTTTTTGGTTGGTTTGTTTTTTTGGGGTTTTTTGGGGTTTTTTTTTTGCAGAAAAGAAAATTAAAAGGCTCAAGCTTCCCTAACATTTTGAAGTTTCATCTTTTAATTCTGACACCCATGTAAATGTCTACAACATTGATCTTCCACAGCAAAATTTTCAAAGCCTTGTTAATGGTCAAATGTGCAGCTTGTTCAGCGATTTATTCTAATGAGCGGACGTGGTGTTACATTATTAATGAGAGTTGGATATAACTATCTGGGTGTGTGCACAGATAGTTTATTTGCTACATTCTCTAAAGTAGTTGAGTATTTACAGATGTTAAATGGAGTATTTTTATTTATGTACATACCGTATGACGATGTTCTTTTTTGTTACAGCTATGCACTGTAAATGCAGCCTTCTTTTCAAAAACTGCTGAATTTTTCTTAATCAAAAATACTCAAATGTAATTATATGAGGTGAAACAATTATTGTACACTAACATATGTAGAAAGCTGAACTTACGCTTATATATATTTGATTGTAAAAAAAAAAGAGAAAAGTGTGTGGGTGAGGGTGTGAGTGTGCAAATGTGTGCGCGTGTKTCTGAGTGCAAAATTACATTACACACATTCATCCCTTCTTTGGTGAGCTTATATAAGAATTTTGTCTAGAATTATCCTAGCCCAAAAGATATTAACCACCTTCTGCAGTATTTTTCCACATTTTTCTCATTGCTTGATTTTCTTTTGCAGTTTTATACACTGAATTTGTTAGGGGAATGAAATTTTCTCATCTAAATTTTTCTAGGAGATATCATAATTTTATGTAAAGTCTCTCAAATGGGTAATCATTAAGAAATGTTTTTATTTTATGTATCAACAGTAGTTTTGGAACTAGAGGTCAAAAATCTTTTTAAAATGCTATTTTGTTTTAATTTTTGTGATTTTAATTTGATAAAAATATGCTGAGGTACTAAGTACAGTATGATTTTTACAGTAATTCTGTGTCTAAACACTGTTCTTGAAGCCAGTAGTCTTTTCATTGGCAGAGTTTAATGATGGTATTTATCTATATTTTTTACAGTTATGCATCCTGTATAAATACCAATCCTTCATTCCTTTGTTTACTAAAGAGACATATTTATCAGTTAWAATTATCCTATTTATTATAAATTATGAGATGACTAAAAGAATAAAAAGGCCAGTGGAAATTTTATACCTAGGATGCATGATGGTTGTCAGTTTGGAGTAAGCAAGTGCTTTGTTTGGAAATTCTGCTTTTGCAGAAGCAGTGGGTTGGTTTTGATTTTTTTCCTTTCTTTTACTATGCACTAGCATGGCCTCAGACGTGCCCATGACATTGTTGCTGATGACATTGCTTCTGTTAAATTAAATAGAAACTTCAGGAAAGAAAAAAAACCACAAGAGTATAAACTACTGCTATTCTGAGCATCAGAATTTCATCTGAACTCAGAGTTTCTAGACTGAATCAGCAAAGTTTGGAATTTGCTTGTGAATGTATAGATTTGTTATTCTATTACTCTTTGGCATTCATGACTCCTCTTAAAGGTATGGCACACCTAACTATTTAATCTACTTTCCCACTCCAAATCTTAGAGAACTGATTCTATCCTCATACCAGTGCAGTTGATTTTGATGGCTGCATTCATTTTATCACCAGCATATTGTGTTCTGAGAGATTCCACTGTCTGTCCTGTCGGATGCTTGCTTGATTTTTTGGCTTCTTATTTCTCAGTAGATAGATAGCAATAAAACAAAAAAAAAAAAAGCAAAGAACTTTACTGGAGGTTCTGTGTTACAAATGTAACATTCTTTACTCTGCATAATTCTTGTTGTTGCTCTGTAGGTTAAAAATGCAGGTATTTTAACTTTGTGTGAATGCCAAACTAAAAGTTTACARTTTTCCTTTCTGGATTTTGAGTATCTTCTGTTGTAAAGAAAAATATTAAAAGCAATAAATTATTTTTAAGAAATCAATATTTAGTATATCATATTATGTTTTCAAGGACCAGATGCATTACCTATTTTGCCTTTACATTTCTGTGATTAAATTTTAAAATGTTCTCTTTTGCCCTAGATTGCTGACTTTAATAAATTGGTGTGGGGCTTGTGTGGGGGGCATTATTTATTTTTCACCAAGCAGGCATAATGACGTGAGTCAATTTTTTTTTTTTTTCACTGGCCTGGCAAACATTCTCATCTTGAAGATGGCTTTCCTCTGTGGATTTACAAATTACATATTAAATTAATAGAGCTAGAATTGCTGAATAAAACTATTTGGAACCTTCATAGACACTGTAGTAGGAAACCAATCAAAATACAAACTCGGTGTTTACTTTTGTTTTTTTCTTCCCCGAGAACATTTCAAATTAGCACGTGTACCACGCTGTCACCGGAGGCAGATTGCAGCATAGCTCTGTGTGTCTTTTATATGAAGATTGTCCTGTTGCTTTCATGCTGTGGTAAGTACCACRTCTGCAATACAGGTAACAGAACTGGCACTTAGGAACTATGGTCTTTCCTATGGCTGTAACTGAGCAATGCCTACAGAATGGGAAATTATCTAAATACTAACCCAGAGGGAGCTTAAAGTTGAAGAAGAATATCTGTGCTAAACTACTCTGAAAAGCAGTTGGGCTGCCATCACCAAGAGCAGCACTGAGAGGAAAGTTTGTGCCTCTGGGCTAATAATACTTGGGTCAGTTGAAAAAAAAAAAAAAAAAGAAAACAAATGCAAAACAACCACAACTCCTTCTCATCCCTTTAGATGTAAGCCTACAGTAGGTAATGATTATGTGTCCTTTTTAATGGCTGTAATGAGAACTTCAATCACTGTAGTATAAGATCTGATCTATAAATGACCTAGAATAGCCATGTAATATAATGTGATGATTCTAAATTTGTACCTATGTGACAGACATTTTCAATAATGTGAACCACTGACCTGATGGAGCTACTGTAAGATTTGTACAGTAGGTGAACATGTAAAGCTGTTGGTTGGACTATGCTGAACAGGGAAAACGAGATACTACTTAAGCCCAAGCTGGGCTATTTTCCACCTGCCAATTCTACATGTACTTTTGTGGTTTAATTCATTGTATGAAAATTCCTGTGATTTTTTTTTTTTTTTTAATGTGCAGTACACATCAGCCTCACTGAGAAAATAAAGGGAAACGAATGTTTCAAATCCATTTCTGTTTCTCATTTTTATCACAAGTGACAGGTTTTTTCCCCCACAACTGGTTGTGTACTGGGTTTTATATTACTCTTTCTAGTGGTTGTAATTTATTTCAGATGATAGGCCAGAGCATGCTGCACTTTGGGCAGGGGACAGCATCACCACTTTTAATGCATTTAATGGTAGAAAGGTGCACTGTGCCTTTCTGCCATGAGTAGCCAAGTCTGTTGAAGAGCCGTGCTGCAAACCRCATAGGAAAACTTTCAAAAAATCCTTGGTGGCATTTAAGAGCTACTGGTTTGAGTTAGAAGGGGATGGGGAATGTCAGGACTTTTCTATCTGGCCACGCTTGGATCCCAGTGCAGGTGGTAGGGAACGAAAAGTGCAAAATGGTTGGTATCTTCCTTCCTAAATGATAAACACCTGCACTAGGAGTAAGCCTGTCGTGGAGTCCTTCATCAGCCCCTGTGTGAMCAGACAGATCAGGAGGAGCAGGCAGGTAGGTGGCTGGACAAGTGTGGCTGTCCCAAATCCTTTGTGGGTGATTCAGTGTGCAGTGGGTAGTTTCCACACCAGCATTGCCCGGGGCAGGCAGCAGGCAGGCYCGGGGGTGGCAAGGGACATTCACACCCTTTCCTTCACAGGCACAGACAAAGGACAAGAATTGCTKTTCTTTGGTTTGCCCAGGGTCCATCCACAGGTAGTTCCAGGTTTTGGCTGTAGGCTGCTGTGTCAGCAGCCATTTCTGGGGTCTGCAGCACAACACCGTGTGACCGAGATGAGTCTGTCATCTGCTGCCACCTCAGCAGGGACCCAGCTGCCAGGCGAGGGGGGACAGCTGGACAGCCTGCCTGAGCTCTCTAAGTAGAGGACTACTGAATTCMTTTGGAAWAATTGCTTTTCTCAAGACAACTAGCCTCCACCTCATCTCTGTTCCTARCATTGCYGTTTAATTTATGCTCCATAACTTTCAAAAGTGTTTAGCTTTTGCATTTTTAGCATTTACTAATCCAAACGRTTGTGCTTGGCTCTCACAAGGGTGGTAGAGCAAAGTTCCTCACTGTGTGGGATTTACATTGTTGACTCACTGCTCCTGATCAAATTAATGCTTAAAATGTAGCAGGCCAAATCATTCCTGATGTACTTCGTCAGTCTTGCCGCTGTTTCACGAGGCATGAATTTAGGCTAATATTTCTCCAGYTACTAGGCTTTTTAATTTCATTTGTTTATTCATTCCATAGTTTTGCATAGCACTTTAATGCTTGCCAAAAAAAAGCACTCCACACTAGATTTCCAGGAAACTGTTGCCTCCCATCTCCTCCTTTTTGGTTTTTTTTTTTTTTTTTTTTTTTTTTTTTTTTTTTTTTTTTTTTTTTTTTTTTTTTTTTTTTTTTTTTTTTTTTTTTTTTCGTAACATCAGGGCTTTCCATTGCCTGTTACCATGGGTCACCATTTTCACCCACGGTGAATGCTGCAATCTGAGCACCTGAAATCAGATTCAGGCACCTCAATGAGTGGCCTGATTTTCAGAAACGCTGAGCATCTCGCAGCTCCCATCAACTTCAATTAGACCTGCTGTCTCTCAGCACTTCTAAAAATCAAGCCACATATTTAGAGCCCCAATTCAGCACAGCATTTTCATTTGTGCTTAAGTCTGTCCTGATTCAGCAAAGCACTTAAGCATGAGTGTTTTTAGATCCATTGAAGTCAAGTGCTCGGCTGCTTTGAATAAAAATAGACTCCTGGACTGGGGCCTAAGATTCCAAATACAGAAACCAACACCTAATTTTAGGCTCCATTTGGAAAACTTCTGCCTCTCCTACCACCCTTAACCT